ATCTTATTCTTTTCTACAGTACATAACATTACACTTTATGTATGTGTTCTCATAAATATGAAAAACAAAGACATGATAAGTATATACTGTTCTCTACAGATTTAGGATAAGGATTTAGTGTTCTCTATATTAGTAAGATATATTTAGTGTTCTATATAGAATGTTAAGGTAAGTACTAAGTATATATATGTATATAAGATTTTTTCTTCAGATTTTTTTTTGCATTTGAACATTTTTAAACAAAATTTGAAAGGTTTTTTATTAATGTTTTACGTAACTAAAACGTTAATAGTTCGAATTTTTTACGATCTTAAAACGTTTCTGGGAAACGTTACTGGAAAACGTTTCAGTAACGTAAAAAGTGGTTCGTTTTACGTAGCATTTACGTATCAGGAAAAGGAAGCCATAACGTAACGCTACCTTACATAACGTTTCTGTAACATTCTAGAAACGAAATTTGGTTTGTCGGGAAGTAAAATAATCGATATGGTGGATTTTCCCGTTTTGATTGTTGGATTTTCAAAAATTCAAATTTTAATTTTAGAAAATTGACTGCTTTTTAAACAACTTTAGGATCAGATCGGTTTACCAGTTTTTAAGCTCAATGGATATATGAACAGACAGGCAGAAAACAAAAAAACGTTACAGCCAATAACCCTACTCTACATACTGGGAGAAAGGTTACACAAGACCCCCTGAAACATAGTTTAGTGCTTTAAATATTTCATTTTTTTTTTTAAACAATTAATTATCCATTTGATATTGTTAAATTTGAAAGGATACCCCCAAAGGGGGGGGGGGTAACAATATTCTAGTAACCTTCAAGTCACACACCAATAATAGAACAAAGTAGTTGAACATCTATATTAAAGAGAAATAAAATAACGGAATAAATAACTAAAGTCAAGAGACACAGATTTGGCACTCAGTGATGGGATTCTCCTTTGGCCGGATACTCCTTGGCTGGATACTCCTTGGCTAGATACTCCTTGGCTAGATACTCCTTGGCTAGATACCGTCAACATGGTATCTCCTCAGGCAACATATCTCCTCAGGCAACATATCTCCTCAGGCAACATATCCCCACAGGCAACATATCTCTTCTAGCACCATCTTTGTTCTGGTAACAAATCTCCTTCAGCATGTTGTTTTCCCACAGCTCCAATCCGTCCAAGCAGTTTCTATTCCTTTGGACTGACTGCTTCTTACCACTGTGGGGAGTTGGCGAATGTCTTCATCCTCTCCTTGTGAGAGCTGGCGCACAACTAAACTTATTCTTTGTTAGGTCTCCTTTTATATCCTGTGATCCTGTCTTATCAACACATCCTTATCGTATTTGGAAAGCTAGAGTATCTAGATAAGGCGGCTGGAGCAGGGGGAGGGGTTTGGGGATGGTTACAATATGAATGGTTGGTACCTGTTAAACTGGATTTCACAATTTTTTAAGATCAGAATCTTGTGGGTGCATTATACCAGTGCCAACTACCATATAGTGTTTGCAGAACTCTTTCAGACTTTAGTGGTACAGGATTTACTAACATATAATTGTATTTTTTAGTATGTAGTTTTTTTTCTTTTTAACCCAGCTTCTGAGCTAAAGCATGTTTAAAATAACTATATTTTATATTACTCAAAAGTAGAATCTTATTTATGGATAATAAGTTTATCTATATAAGCAAAACTCTCTCAACACAGATTGATGTCCATCTGTAATTTCCAATTTATTTTCTCAAGGGAAGGTTGGATAAATATTCTATACCAAAACAATAATATTCATTCATACATAGTTATTTCTTTGATTATGTTCCTAATTGTTTTCAGAGGTTAGCTGTAGGGGGGGGGGGGTAGTCTTAACACATTGAAATACCCATATACAACAATATTAGTATTGATTAAAATACTTTTATTAAAAAAGTGTACTATACCTTTTTGGGGGAAAAATTACAAATTTTACAATTATTTCTGTATTTAAATATCTATTCTTTTTTCCTTTGTATTCAGAAAAAAATGTTACAACATATTAATTTCATATATGTAACATGTGCGTCAAATTTTTTCAATCATGTGTTCATATGTATGATATTTATCAGGTTAGAAGAAGCGTGGTTTAAGGCACACAATTTTCAGAATTAACAAAATCTTAACTTTACTAATATGAAGTTACATTTTTAATTCTAATTGTAAAAATGTGATGCTGCACATTTTTTCAAAATAATATATAATATGCATGACCATCTTTGAAAATAAGCATGTTCAAAATTGATAGGAGGGGGGTGGATGGTGGCTTGGGGGATCTGCAGCAAATTTTTTTCTTCTAAATGTAACGACCCCCCCCCCCCCCCCTTTGACGTTTGAAAAAGAACAACCAGTACGTTTTTTTTCAAAGCTACAAAAATCTTCCTGAGCTGCAAACTTTAGAATTATGGATACTGAGATCAATGCTTGATCCTCTACTTTTCTTCATCTCCAGACTAACTTAATCTTGTTTTGCTTCCTGAAAAGTGTATACAATTCAACCAATCAGAGTGGCGTCTCAGAAGCCGGGAAATTTGAAATTTTGCACGCGATTTAAGATTACTTAATAGAAACGGAGTCTCTCTCTAATTTAGAAAAACCGGTTTTTGATTTTTCTGTACTTCATCCAAAAAAGAGTGGATTAAGCAAGAAATTAAAAATGTCCACATTGGATATTCGGATTAAGCAGTCGGGATTACAGCTGAATCCTATTCTAAAGTTCCGAGCTATGATCTAAAACAAAAAATTCTTTTTATTTTTTTATTTTGATACTTTATTAGGAAAATGACGGAGATCTCTGTGATGAGTTTGAGTCAGCCTGTGGACATCATCTGACAGAACAGCAAGTCAACGATGTTTTAAAGAATTTTAAGAAAAAAGACAAGCAGGTAATTTTGTCTAGACTCATGCTGTCATATTGAAAAATTTAAAGAGAAAACTATGCAAAAATTAAAACCTTATTAAAAGTTTAAATTGTTAAATAGCAAATGTGGCACAAAGCAATTTAATTTTTATTCTTTTTGATACTTCAAACCCAAACATTCATTTATTTTTCCCAATTTGGCTAGAAAAAAACCCATAAAGATGATTTTTCGAGAAAATATACAACCCCTCTAAAAAGGATGGTCAATTTTGTACATTAGAAATTAAAAAGCCCCTAGTACTGGCATTTTTAAAGTTAACGGGTCAGAAATCGTTTGTCAAATGTTTAGTTTACACCTTAAAGTTATGTTTATTTCAGTTAGCAGCATCTCAGTTTAACACACCAGCTCAATACGACCGAGCATATAAATCAAGGCATTGATTTTTAATTTGTTCTTTTTTAAATAAATGTAAAAACAATTACTGAGTTAAAATGACAATCTAAGAAAAATTATATGGAATTTGAAGTTACACACTTTACATTAAGAAGTATCAATAAACCTTTTTGGAATTTAAATTCAAAATTTCATTTCATTTAAAAAATCAATGATTTACTGGTCTTATCAAACAGGAGGAGGAATTGGCCCAGGGCCTGCTGACAAGCATAACCCTGACACCCAGGCTGATGACCTGAATTATCTAATTCCCGCTTCCACACCGTGGAATAGGTATGTGCATGTGTTAAACATTTTTTGGCTTATATTATTGATTTTTTTACACTAAGAGGCAAAAATCTGAATGAGTCTTAAAATTATGAAAAATAAAAGTATACATATTTAATAAATGTAGTTAAGAAAGTTTTAAACTGGCTCAAGGTTGATTTGAGATTTTTTATCAAAACGTGCCAAATAGTTTCGCCCTTACTTTAAGGTAGGGCTGTTGATGGAACAGAGGTTTTCGAAAATTAACTGAAGTGTCCGTTAACGAACGGCAAAAACCGTTATTTTTTTTAACAGTAAGTTTCCTTATAAAAAATTTCAACCTAAAATTGCATTTAACAGTGGTCCCCAAAAGATATATTGATACAGTAATTCCCAATTAAAATCTTTTGATACTGTGGTCTCCAAATAAAATCTTTTGATTAACGGTAAATTCTGTTAACAAATGGTAATTAAAAAAAACAGTAAATGCCATTAACGAACAGACGTGTTGTTCTTAACGTAAAAATTAATGGCTGTTTGAAATTTTAATTTTTTAACGGTTAGAACTAACTGTTAACGGAACAGGTAGAAAAAGTTGGAACGTGCTTAGCCCTGCTTTAGGGGACTAAAACTGTAATTTTATGCAACCCTTTATAAATTCAATGCTATGATCGATTTTCATCGTTACCCTTGAGTATGTAACAATTTTTTTTTGTTTAGAACTGAACAATCCAGTGATCAGGAGTATACAATTCAAGTGATCCAGGATAAATTCAATACAACATTAGCTGCGAGGGCAGCTAATTTAACAACTCCACCAGTTCATAAAAAAGTAATTCCAGCACCAGTTACACACACACACTCATCAGTTCCTAAAACAATAATTCTAGCACCAGTCACTCACACACTCACATCAAGCATCACAAACACAAATTCACTCTCATTACACACCACAAAAGCACATACACTTTCTTCACACACTGCTACACCTAGTCATTCACCCCCTACACACACGTCACAGATGCATTCACTTCAGTCAAACATTACAGCACTACCAGATTCACACACTGGCACAAATTCTCAATCCAGCACTCCACTTCAAACAAGCTCTTTTACATCTTCGACCATCTCTACATCTTCCACAACTCTTTATGAATCACGCAAAACTAGACTGCCCGAACCTGAACTTTCCTATGGTAAAGTTAGCAAAAAGGAGAAGCCATCTGACCCCGGTGCAGATTACTTTTCATTTATGAAAAGTAGAAACTTTCTTGTCACTGAAGAGCAAATAAAAACTGAAAAAATGAGACAAAAAAGTGAACAACTTTGTGCACTTTACTACGAAACAAAGTTAAAACTTTTAAATCCTGCACCTTGTAAAGTTGAGAAGAATGGGAAAAATGAAAACTCAGACAGGGGGGTTAAAACTATTGTTTTGGGGGTTTATTTCCTAAATGGTAGGTTTGAGTGTTCCATTTTAACAAAATTCTTGATTTTTGATTTACTGGGCATTTTTAAAATCTATACAACTGATAAAAGGGGAACTATTTATACATAGCTTGAATTGTAAATATGTATTTAAGGTTTTTAAAAATAATGACTGTTTCTTGACTTGTTTTCATAATTTTTTGGCTTCTAAAATTAATGTTTTCCACTAATTCATTAAATGTTCTCCCTGTCTGCAGTATCGAAGAAGTTGTTGAAACAGATTTTGTATATTGAGATTTAGTAAATTTACTCGATCCTGTTTATGTAAACAATTTTTGATATTTAGTTAATATTGTAAATATTTCTTTTAAGAAATCAAAATATGTTGGCAAATTTTTAAACAACAGCTTTAAAAAATGCCGAAACTTCCATTCTTTTAGAGTTTTTTAAAATATTTATGTGGAGTGGAAACATTACGTCAAATTGGATTTTAAAAATTTTCAGTTAAGTCATCAATTACTGGAGGGAAGGAAGGCTGGCGACAAATCTTCTCATCTGAGCCACCTCGAAATCCTGGTCCTTTCAATATTATTTTTTTAAGTGTCTAATCCTCCCAGATTAAACTACTTTTAAAGATTCGGGTCAATTTAGGGCATAAATGAAATATCAAATTTTTGTAAATCGAAAAAAAGTTTCAATAGAATTAAATTTACAAGTTTAAAGTCCTTAAAAATATTCACCTCTTTTATGAGCATTTTCAGATATTCCTGGTGTAAAATAAGGGGGGTTATTGGGGTTATTTATCCCCCCCCCCTAGAATCCTGGGGGTAAATCCCCCCCCTAGAATCTTGGTGGTAACTACCCCTGAACATATATTCAGGCCCTGAATAGCAGGGGTTACTTGCTGCCTCTACAAGTTACAGTTGCCTTGACCCCTTCACTTCAAAAAAAAAATACATTCCCTATTGATTAGTCTCCAGTCAAGTGTAAAGACTTCTATTTTCATGATAGCAATAGTTTTTGCGGCATTTTGCAGATGCCTAAACAGTTATAAGATTTGAAAACTGTTTAAAATTTAAACAAAAAATAGAAACGGAACTTATGTATATTGATAATTAGAAATTTGCACGAAAACAATTAAAATGTGCATTGTGCAGATCCGTCGGAATCAGATATTTCAAATTTGAAGTCAACATATTCTAAATGATTCTTAATTCTAAAGTAATAGTCAATGTCATTAAAATTATATGTTTTTTTAATAGAAAAAAAATGGTATGGACAATAAAAAAAAAATTTTACTCCTAAATAATGTCATTTCAACATTAGATTTCGTTAAGATCTTAACATACTACATTGACGACAAGAAAATTTAACAATGAGTAATGACCATATTTTTTTCAAAGTTAGGCAGAGTAGCTTTTCTAAAGATTTAAAAAAGTAACATTTTTTCCTCTTAGAGTAAAACTATTATTTTTTATATTACTGCCTTTTTTGTCAATGTTTGCCAGCAAACTTAATATAAAAAGTTTAGTTAAAATAAAATAAATTCAGTTTTTTTACAGATCTTTGTAGTTAATGTAAAATGAATGACTATAATGAAGGGTATAAAACAAGGTGAAAGCTGAAAGGTATGAAATACAGCCTTTATTAGATTGAGTTTGTAAATCCCAGAAATGAGTGGAAAATGCAAATCAAACCCAATTAAAACCAATAATTTGATATACATCATGATATTTTTCTAGGGGGGGGTAAGAAAAATTTCGGCGCAAAATTCAAAATTTTTACCCCCCCCCCTACAGAATCCTTATATCCGCCCCTGTCTTTTTGGTTAATTTTGTCAAAACCATAAAACTTTTCCGGGTGGTGCCATGGGGCAAATCATAGGCAGAGGTATACCAAATATTTAGCTTGGACTAGAAATTGTGGAGGGCCTTCCTCTCCTCATTACTCGGTTCTTCAATTGATCATGCAGTTAACTCAATGAGGAAAAAAGGATAATTTTTTCCTCCCTGATCTTGCTAGTAAAACCATAAAAAATGTTGCTGCTCCGTGTAAACATATTTAGGAAATGTGCTTTCAATTATGTATTTTTTACACTTTTTCCGTAAACTTATTCTTGTAAATGTAACTGTAAAAAATTTGTAAAAAATTTATAACTTTATAATGTTCATATTGTTAATATTGTTAAACACACATTATTATTTAATTAATTTATTTATTTAATTTTTTAATCAAACTTTTTTTGTAATGCCAGAACATAAAATGTTCAAATAATTGCATAATTCCATGCTTGATTGAATCCAAAATCTGATTCTCTTCTGTAAATACGAGATCTAAATAAAGTTTTGAGAGGAAAAAATCATAAAATTTTCTAAATGAAGTGGGGAGAAACGATTTTTAAAAAATAAATACCCCTGCTGCCAGTCAATCTGGTTCTTGAGCACAGGGTTTATAGAATAGAGGATAAAATTTTTAATGCTCTGTATTCGTTCTAAAAAGGAGTAGGTACAAATTTAAAATAAAGAAATAAGGAACTAAAAAAAAATCAGAGGTGCATAAAATTCCATTTCCAAAGAAATCAAAACCCCAAGAGGAGGGAAAGGAAGGAAAAAGGGAAGGGGAAAGAAAAGAAAAAGAAGGAAAAGGAAAAAGAAAAAGGAGCGAAAAGAAAAGGGAAAGGGTATCTGTGGAAAAAAGAGAATAGTGGGAAATTGTTGTGATCTGTAGATTAATTAATTCCACTTAGATATCCTGTGATTTTCTAATCACCATATCTTTACAATCCAATGTTGTAGACCACTGATATTTAAAATTATGTATTCTGTTAGATCAAAAAATAAAAGTTTGGCATATCAAAGGTTTACACCATAAGGTTGCAAAGATTAAGAAAGTAGAAAATAGTTCCTTAATATCCCTGATAAACAGATTTATATCTAATAAATTCTGATATATATATTTTGTATGTGTATTTTAACAGAAAAAAATGATCTTAACTGAGAAAGCTTCATTAGATCCTCCTTCTGTCTAACTGAATTCTCATATGTTCCTGGATTCTTTTCCCAGCTTCCAGAGGTCCTAGTTGCTGGTCTACAGGAGGACCTTGGGGAACTCTTAGAGGCTGCACTTGAGGACATGGATCATTAGGTGGAGCATCCTCCTTCCATTTTTTTGCCATATTATGCAGCATGCAGCATACCACTATAACCTTCTGGGACAGGGGAAGTGTGTCCTCGTATTCTTTAGAACTGGGAACCTCCCTGTCAGCTGACCATATATATTCTCAGTCATAACAGTTCTAAGTCGAGAATGGGCAGTGTTGAATTCTGCCTTTGTTGGATCAGCCAATGTTTCATCTAATGTATATGGCTTAAATTCTTGATTGATCATACCTGAACATTTATGCTGTAGAAAAGTTTACGGCAGTGATACTGCTGAGGATCGTGGCCTAAAGGAAGATTTCGGGGGACATCCTCAAATCTGACATGCATTCATTCAATGCCATAAGCAAAGTTAGGCAGACCAAATCTATCCTCCACTTCTTGGGATGCTTCTAGGCATTCCTAAACAGTACAAATGTTTTTTTGGTTATTATTTTTTGGGGAAGGGGGGGGGTTGAAATTATTAGTAATATTGGGTTAAATAAATACCCCTTTCATTTATTTCAATAAAAAATTACCTGGTATGATGGCATAAAGATCCAGTCAGCTTTGTGTCGGAGAAGGGCATTTGTTACTCTGTCCACAGCTTTTCCATATGCAGACTGGCTGCATTTAAAGGATAAGGCTCCACTTCTTTGAAAAGGCTGGCTTCCAAAATGATGAAGGGCTATGCAGACTTGCTGAGTTGGAGTGAGGGTGTTTCCCCTTTCACTGTCATGTTCAATGTCTCCCCTGTAAAAGTAACTTTATTGATAAATATGTCATAAGAAAGAAATTATCAATGTGAAATCTTCTGAACATGTTATAAGCACCTAAATATACAAAGAATTAAACCTTTCAGATACTGTAGTTAAAAATTACCCAAATTTGAAAACGTAAAAGTAACTTAATTTTCTTTTTGAACTTTTTTAGAGCTGTGCATGCATTTATTCCGGGTACTTTAAGTTCACCTGATCCACTATTATGTCAATTCGAGGCGAGTTAAACGAAATTGTCTCAAAATTTCTGCTGCTGGCATAGTTTCTCTAGGATCTGTTCTGTCAGAATGTCTCCTTCTTTTGACATTCATCAGTCTGTATAATTCATAATCGTAAACAACATCAACATCTACCATTTTCTGAAATATTAAAAATATCATTGAATCATTGATTTAAACATACATCTACATTTCAATGTTTGATTCATTGAGACGAAGTTCTGAAAATTGTTGAAAATTCATTTTTTTTGTTTTCAAAAAATAACAAATGACACATATTTTAATATCGTTTCACCACTGGCTTTCCAAAAATGTTAGCTGAAGCCTAAATAATAATATCAATAGACTGCTGAAGAAAAATTAACATTAATCTACCTAATACATTAAAAAAGTTTTTTCAAAAAGTCCTGTAAATCACTTTTGTTTAAAAATCTTAGTGATATTGTAAAAATTTAGAATGCAACAGAAAAAAATTGTAGCCATAGAATTTTTTTTTAATGAGATCCTTGTGCAAAAACAAATTTATTTAGGTTTAATTAGTACCAAAAAAATTCTTTAAACTAAAAGAAAGTCTCAGCAAATTCTCAAATGTATCTGATGACATCACACAACTACAGATATTTAAAAAATCTGTAGCTCCACCTTTCTGGACATTATAGGAGTGTAAATTTAAATCTTTCCTTGGATGGGCCGACTATTACGCCAAAAAACGGATACCAATTTGATCACTTCCAAGTGCGTAGCAGCTTTATTCATAAAACACCACAGCTGGAGACTCCAACGACAGCATATTTGAACCCAGTTTCCTAGAGTTTCAAAATACGTTTTAAGAACATGAAACCCGAACTCTGCTAAACCCGGGTTTCAGGAAACCGGGTATCGTAGCGAGTTTTATAATTTTCTTAAGTTTTGCACTCTGTACTCCTAAAAAATAGTTTGTGATGTATATAGAGTACACTGTACAGTGTACACAGCTCTGTTGTACAAACTGGTTCTGTATTAAAGTACAGTATGTACATCATTATTCAGAACTATGAATAATATTCAAGGTGTCCCAAACAAAAAGGATTTTACAAAATATGATTAAAATAAAGTACAGTTATAACCAGAAACAGTGGATTAATTGAGGCTTCTATATTTCTTAATCGATTTTTGAAATTTATAACTATTATAAGCTAAATTTTAAATATCAAATACAAAAAAAAATATGATTTTAAAAAATTTTGATTTTTGAAAACAAATAATTTAATTTTTTTCAGCCTATGTAACCCCAGGGATACCCCCGGGTTCCCTCAATAGCTATAACTATAGCTATAGCTGACATATATGTATGAGTAAAGAGCTTTATTATATAGATTTTCTGTGCATTTGTTAAAAGCATACTCATCATATCTTTCCAACCTGATGGTTTCAAAAATATGAAATTTTGATATCAGACTGCAAAAGTATATGGACTACACCGATATAGGGATGAAACCATCAGGTTGCAACAATTTGGGGATTGTATCATTAGGTTGCAAAGATATAAGGTTTACACCATTATGTTGCAAAGATATATTGTCTACATCATTAATTCCTATGGATATAGAGTTTACACCAACAGGTTGCAAAGATATAGGGATTTTGCCATCAGAATGCAAAAATTACAGAGTTAAATCTTTAGGTTGCATTGATTAAGGGATTAAATCTTCAGGTTGCAAGGATACAGGGATATCACCATCATAATCCCATACAATTCATAATTCACATCATAGTTAAAGGTTTTGGTCTTACCTTGCCATTCTTCCCAGTTGAGGTTATTGAATAGAAATAATGGCTCAGTAACATTTTGCCTAGTACAAGTTCGCCTAGTACACTTTCGCCTAGTACATGTTCGCCTACTAACTTTTTGCCTAGATGACATTTTGCTTAGATAACATTTTGCCTAGATAACATTTTGCCTGAACACAGTTTGCCTAGACAACATTTCGCCTAGATAACATTTTGCCTAGATAACATTAGAAGGTAATTTTCGCCTAGATAAATTCACTAAAATTTATAAAGTTCCTCTTTTTTCTCAAGAAATTCAATTAAAAGCAGAAAAAATGTATTATAATAATGTTTACAAATTTTTTCTTACAGGGCACTAACACCAGGTTTCCACTCGATTTCCTTGTTCCTAAGGTGGTATCACATTTTCTATTTGAACAGCGCCAATTATAAACTTTCTGACTACCAGGTCCATTGGAGACATATGAGAAATGTTGATTTTCAATTATGGCTAGTCTGTCTCGTTTGGTTTTCCCTACCTGAATTAAGGACATCATGTCGACATCAATGTCAGTAGAAAACTGAATGATTTAAACTACAAAAAAAAATTGTGAAATTTTTATAGTAAAAATTGCGTACTTTTTTTGTTCCAAAAGCTGGTTAATTTGAAGAATGTTAATCTAGGCGAAAATTAATCTCTAATGTTATCTAGGAAAAATGTTATCTAGGCAAAATGTTATCTAGGCGAAATGTTGTCTAGACAAAATGTTATCTAGGCAAAATGTTATCTAGGCGAACTTGTACTAGGCGAACTTGTACTAGGCGAACTTGTACTAGGCGAACTTGAACTAGGCGAAAGTGTACTAGGCGAACTTGTACTAGGCGAACTTGTACTAGGCGAACTTGTACTAATCGAACTTGTACTAGGCAAAATGTTACTGAGCCGAAATAATTGTCCTCATCTTTAATCAATATTTTCCAAGAGGACAAATTTTTAGGATTCCATGTTCCATGTTGGATGACGTTCCGCATTCGACTGCCATGTTTTATGTTTACATTCATAGATCTGGTTTTAATCAAAACAATGGCATAAAATGCAATACAGTTTTTTCTATCTATCTATCCTACTTTTTCGAATATCTAACAAGTTACTGAGGCGGTAAATGTTCACAATATACTCTGTTCTTTCCACTTTTTAATTATTTAGCATTTGAGGTTATGGTTAAATTTGCCCATGTTTAGGGGCAAATTTTTATGTTCTTATTTTTTCTACCCCTCCTATCGATTTCATTTCCGAGTTCGTTTCCGGATCTTATTGGTCTGGGCTAGATGTGTTCTCTCTGGGATGCTGGTAAACGTAGGAACTCTTTTTCAATCTGTTGTCAGCCTATATTAGTGTTTTTGGTCAATTTTTTCGGGTTGGGGCTGCCATATAGCCCTCACTGCTCCTGGTCACAGTATACGATGATGTACACTAATCCTTTACTAATTGTACAGGCCATGTACTTCACTTCCAAAGGTCAATCTGTACTCGGGGGTGATCTCTGAAAATATTTAAATGGAGAATTTGTTTTCCATGTAACTATTAAAATCCACTACTCCTTATCGTGTGCAGGATTCCATTTTCACAGGAAGACTTACAGTCTTTTACAGAGCATTAGTCCATCATTAAAAACTGTTCTGAGAAAAAATCAAGATACAAAACCTCCCTCTCTAAATATCCTTTATCAGTAAACTTTCCCAAGTGTACAGTTAGGCTAATAAACACGGAGAGGTAGCTAAAATCCAGCCCCCCTCACCTATATAAATATTTTTAGTCAGTTTTTCGGGTTGGGGCCGGGGCTGCCTTATAGCCCTCACCGCTCCATTGTTTTTGGTCGAGAACAGAACAGGTGTGTTGTAACTTCTTAGCTGAGACCTTTTGAGTTTACTGTTGAAACTTGGAAACTCTTAACACTAAATTTGCTTTATATTTATGTCCATTGTGGGCACTTTTATTTTAAGTATCAATAACCTTTTGGGATATTGAATAAAGATTAAATTAATCTGCAGACAACAAAAGATAGAGATTAAGCATTGATCTCAAGATATCCCAGGTCTGATTGTGGATTTTCCAGACTTTTTTGAGATATTCAAAATGATTTAACTTAATCTGTTGACCTTAAAAGATACGGATTAGTGCTTTCTGAAGAGATTAACAGTAAACAAAACATTGCAGTTTCAGACAATTATTTTATCATTATTTTTTAATGTGTCTTTAGGAATCTAAAACTTTCATTTAGTTTTCGGCTTTGTCCAGGCCTCTCGTTTAGTTCTGGAATCCCCTTTTTCTTATAAAAAATGCAATTGCCGTGATTAAGCTACTTCAGGTTAGACTGGGTTAAGGAGACCCTTCACGGAAGACTTGAGGTTCACCGGAGGCTTGCTTTTTTCAGAAAAACTATGTGAGGAGTCGAGGGAGGGGGGGGGGTCCTAGTGGCTAGATCTGTTTCATTAACAACTTAGTTTATCTTTCCAACTGGAAGATTTAAAGTCGATTTAGATATTTGAAAACTTTTTGAAAACTTTCTAATTTACATTAAAACTAAGAACTGAACTCGTTTTTTAGATCTCACGCAAAAATCAATGAGAATTTTGCTAATTAGCTCTATAAACCTAAAACTGATGCTACTAACCATTCTAGATCTATGTGCATATTAGCGCTATCCCATTCAAAAATTCTGACCTCAGTTTGAGTAAGTTTAGATAAAAAAGTAAAGTAGAGTTTATATATACAGGAAGTAGAGAATTTATAATATTTGTGTGATGGTTGCTCAGTTCACAAATGGTTTATTTTCTTGTCCCAGTGCAAGAATTCTGAAAAAGGACATTATGTGGGGAGGTAAGGGGGGATGTAAATACAGTCTGATAAGTCCACTTAAGAAAATTGAATAAATATGGAAGTGTGTATATGATCGAATAGTTTACATAGTATTTTTAAGATGGGGGCACAAGATTGCCAAGGGGGGCGCAAAAAAACACGTGTGCTCCACCCTTTTTATAATAAAGCTTCAGTACTGAATGTAATCTGCGGGACCAGCAGGCAACACTTCTACAATTCTCTAAAGAAATCAGCACGTCTTTTCAAATGCAAGATTGCAATCTCAACTTTATAATAATTGTCCACGTCATCCCGTATCCATGATATCCATTGAAGCGAAAATTCTACTCCCCCTAATTCTGTTTAAAAAACACGTTTTTTGCTTAATTGGCAAATTTTGAGCAAAGATGGTCCACACTCGTTAATCATGATATAGACGAGTGAGGGGGCGAAAATGTTAAGGGTTTGGGGGCGAATCGGCTTCGACCCCCCCCCCCCTATTTGCGCCACTCTGACAATGTCACAAATTTACTTTTTGACCTGAAACATCAATACTTTCAGGTCTATTCAATTCTAAACCATTTTAAACATCAAAGGAGAGCAGAGTTTATGAGGCCTAACTTTACAGACCACAGTTCACAATAATCATCTTTAA